TAACTGTAAATCATAAAATTGTTCTCCTGAGGCAACAAACTGAGTGTTTATGCAGTCGTCATTGTCACATAAACTACGCAGCACAGGTAAATATTAGGACCTTACCTGAATATTTCTTAATTAGGTGCTACAGGTAACCCTTCCCCTCTATCAGTATTATCGTTCACTATTTTCTAAGTCATCCATCACACCTGACAAGCAGATGAATGATGTGGGAGAGCCTATGGAATTATAAAATCGCTTCACAATTTATTTTTTGTGCATTTCCTTTTTTTTTTTCAGTAAGACTTAACTAGATCAGTGTTACTAAGACTGTATGGGAGGTTTAGTATTTCTGTTGTGTTGCTTTTCGCCCAATACGCTTGTGTAGAGGTTTACTTAAGAGGTGGTACAGTTGTTGTTGGTTCAGGTGGAAGGTGTTAATTAGTGATCTTGGTTGTGTTACCTGTGTTGGATGAAGTTGGTCCATAATCTTCTTTCTTCTTGTTCTTCTTCTTTTTGTTCTTCTTGTTCTTCTTCCTGTTCTTCTTTTCGTCTTCTTATTGTCTTCTTGTTCTTGTTCTTGTTCTTTTTTTCCATCTTCATTTTCTTTTTCTTATTATTATTATTATTCTTCACCACTAACCTCCTCATCATCTTCTTTACCCCTGCTCGGTGTTGACTCTACACACACACACACACACACACACACACACACACACTCATCCTTCAACAATGAAACGAATTACGTCATGCACTTAAGTCAGACGACCAAGACCACCTCATACTTCGCCCTGTACACAGAGAGAGAGACTTGACCTGAGTTTGTTTATCTAATACCATAACAAACATACGGGTTCCTTGGCTTCAGACCAGATTCTAAAAGGTTCTTACGATAAATATTCCTCGTAAGTGAATAAGTAATAATGTTTGTAAAAGAGTTAACATTGGCTAAAGGGATAAAAATAACGTCTGAAAGTAATAGTAGTGGTAGTAGTTTGTTAGGTTAAAGTGAGACATTTTAAACCAAATTACTTCACTTAGTATACCACTTAGAGGAAAGGAATTACCAGACAGAAACTCTCTGGTAAGGATTTTCTATGTTAATTTCTTCCCCTTAAGTGGTGTTAAGTGGATGTATCTAACTAAAGGAAAGAAGATGTAATATAATTATTATTGTTTTGTTAATGTTATAGCCTCTGATGTTATTCTGGTGTTTTAACTTAAAAGTATTAATTGATTAGGTGTGTTACTTAGTTCTTTAGGAGTAGTGGAACGAAATCTTTGAAAAATCTGAAGAAATCTGATGTTGGAGTGTTACAGGAAGTGCCCATGCCTGACGGGGACGTGACTTAGGGGCGCCTCACCCTCAGGAAAAGAGGGTCATTTTTTTTCTATCATTTTTTCACGTCTCAAATGGAAGAGAGAAAATGTATGTATGAGAGAATGGGAGAGATAGTGAGGGAGAGATGAGGGAGAGGAGTTACTGACAGAAGGAAACGAGGAAAGAGGAGGGAGAAGGCCATCTGGGAGAGGACAAAGAGATGCCGGAAATTACTCTCTCGCCCCAGTAAAAGAGAACAGGTCAAGCCATCGAGGTTTTATAAATGATTCTTACCCGTGTGTAGTGAAGAGGAAGGCGGAGTGAGGGTGAGGGGAAGTGAAGTTAGTGTCAGGAAGAGGGGAAGGAGGAGAGAAATCAGAGGAAAGGGTGAGAGGAGGCGAGGTTAGTGCCAGGAATGGGAAAGAAGGAGAGAAGGTAGAGGAGAGGAGAGGAAGAGAAGATGAAGAGCAGGAATGGAGAGAGTCACCTGATGGAAGAAAGGAACGAAGGAAGAATGCACACCATAATAAAACTGAACAGGTATAACAGTACAGGTGGTTCGTGTTACCTGTATGACACCAACTGTCTTAATTACCAGGTGCTTGGTGATGCTCCCGGCTGTTCCACTAATGGGCGACGCTAATGTGTGTGTGTGTGTGTGTGTGTGTGTGTGTGTGTGTGTGTGTGTGTGTGTGTGTGTGTGTGTGTGCGCGCAACGAATTCCCATATTTATGCCTTCATTATTCACAGGGTAAAATTTCTAAGCCAAAAATTTCCGCCAGATAGACGATCAGTAAATTCAACCTCACTTGAGCATAATATTTGTATTGAAAAGCCATTTATTTACAAAGAAGAAAAATCCCTCCAAGTGATTTACAGACGAGAGACATTTACAATAATTCAAGATTTTAATTTACACCGGAGTCACTAAAGTCAGACTACGAATGCAAAAACATAAAAAATAAAAAAAATTAAAATAAAATATATTTACAAAGATTTTATTCAGATTAAATTCCCTTCAGGGTTTTTACAGCAAGAGTGTTGTAAATTGCCAAGAGGGGTGAATTAAAAGATCTTTACATACGACCTTTAGTTACGACACTTGTTTGAGTACGTTCGGGTAACATACGAATTTTAGCTGGATTATTCTTGTTGTTGTTGTTGTTGCTGCTATCAACTTTAATATTTTTTACTGGGCGGAGTTTTTTCTTGTGGTAGTTGCTTGTGTATTTGTTTGTTTTGTATGCTGCTGTTTCTCTTGTTGGTCCAGCTGTATTTGTTATTATTTGTTCCTACGTATAACCAACACAGTGTTATCCCACACAGTTTCGTCGTCAGGATATACACACGCGGGACTTTACTCAGAGATTCCTGCCTATCATGTTACCTCCTCATCGTATAACCCCGTGAGTGGCTTTTCTCTTGTAAAATAATCCTTTCCTTACATCAAGTTAGTGGTTTACAGTGTCTTCCAGCTCGTTTTTATGTGTACATGGGAGCCTTGTCTTGACTGTGTGTGTGTGTGTGTGTGTGTGTGTGTGTGTTTAGATTGGGTCGTATCTAACGTGATGCTCCTGCCAGACGTATATCGTGCTGTTGTGGTGTGTTGGATAGATGTTTACGGGGATTACCCCACCCGGGCACAGGTCACTGACCCACAACAGGGCCTGGGGCGAAATATTAATAATAATAATGATAATAATAATAATAATAATAATAATAATAATAAATACAAAAATTAAAAAACAAACATTAATAGTGGGAAACGATATATGTATGTTGTGTTGTCAATAGTAAGAGAAACAATTGAGACCCTGCGTGGTGAGACAGGCAGACAAGCAGACAGACAGACAGAGAGACAGACTTTGAGCCAGTGATCATAAAGAAATATATTCAGGTGTGTTCGGGAAGGGGAAAATGTTTCTCACCTCAACACCTGAAATTGTTTACACACACACACACACACACACACACACACACACACACACACACACACACACACACACACACACACACACACACACACATACACACAGAGTATCGGGATAACACTGAACCCAGGACACGACCTCTTAAAGTTGGGTTTGCATGAGGCTGGTCCTTCCCTTGCCTGGGGTGATCTGGTGTGCTGACGGCCCTTTCCCACGCCAAGCTGGGGGTCAGGCAGCTTTGAGCCACACTGAAGATTCAATGGACGGCCAAAAAAAAAATGATATTACGACACCTGTAAACAAATGAGTAAGTGTGTGTGTGTGTGTGTGTGTGTGTGTGTGTGTGTGTGTGTGTGTGTGTGTGTGTGTGTGTGTGTGTGAATACTGAATTAGTATGAAAGGAAGACCATAATTGCATTCGTATATCCCAATCGTTCTCTTCTTGTTGTGTGTATGAGAGAGGGCAGCAACAACAACAGCACATATTGCTCCATGACACAACCTGATTGGCCCATTAATAAAAGAATAAAAAACTCGTCACAGCCACAAATTACATCAATAACACTGTAGATTTTTTGTTGTTATTCACAGGAAAATATTTCGATTGTTATTTTCGAACACAATTCTTTTTATTTTTTTTTCCGGATATTTTTGTACAGTTTTAGGACACTTTTTATATATTTTTTAACTTCTTTTCGGATATTATTTTGGGGTCAGTTTTTGGACACTTGACCGGAAAAGTTTTTGGACGAATTTCGAAGTTCTATTAAGAGTGACGGTGATGTGAGAGTGAGTGACGGAGAGTGATAAGACAAGTGTGTAGCAGTAGTAGTAGTAGTAGTAGTAGTAGTAGTTGTGGACGTACAGAATTCTTATACAATATTTACAAAGAAATATCTATCTACTTCATAAACATACTTCACATAAGACAAGTGTGTAGCAGTAGTAGTAGTAGTAGTAGTAGCAGTTGTGGACGTACAGAATACTTATACAATATTTACAAAGAAATATCTATCTACTTCATAAACATACTTCACTAATGATCAATATAATGAAAATAACCAAAAAATGAATAATTAGTTCCCACATTCGTATTTATCAAGGTATAGGTCTTGAGATTAGTTTAAATGAGTTATAGCTAGGAATAATTATGAACCGTTTTCTGTGATGTGATTTGTTTTCTATGGTATTAGGGGAGAGACTATACTATATGATGTAGTGGAGACGGGGCGGGATTTTATATTGACGACAGTAGGTGTATTGATGAAGAATGTGTTACAGAAGTCTTATATGGGGAGATACAGGAGAATACAGTAGTTGAATTATTATACTGTACTTTCATCCAGATTAGATCAATGTGTACTTCCTGCCTATAGTTTAGAGTGTTATTCCTATGTACTGTCCACAGGGAGGTGCAGGTACTGTCCTCTATTGTTGTTATATATTTAAGGTGGATACGGGTACTGTCCATAGGGAGGTACAGGTACTGTTTGTTAATGTTGCTATACTGTATATTTAAGGTTGGTACATGTACTGTCCATAAGAAGGTACGGGTACTGTCAATTTTTTTGAGATAGTGAAAGTAGACGATCATGAAGGTACTGTCCAGGTTATATATGTTTTCGTTAGATATTTTCTACTTTTGGATATATTTTAATATTTTTTTCTGGCTCTTCATCAAAAATACTTAGTAAGAGAAATGGGTTAGGTTAGGTTAGGTCAGGTCAGGTCAGGTCAGGTTTTTTAGGGAAGTAAAACACATCAACTGTCAACATCACGAATTTATTTTGTTAATAATTTTAGAAAAATGGAAAATCTACCTTTGGAGTTTTGAGTCATTAGTGTTTACACCTGGTAGTCACCTGTTAATAATGTGCAGGTGTAAAGTCAACGATGGTATTTGTTCATTTTCTGTTAGTTTATGTTTCAGTTTTGTTCATTTTAACGTTTCTGAGTTGATATTGTTCACCACTTGTTATTTTATTAGTCAACATTGTTCATTTTTTATAGCTTTCATGTTCATTACTATTCATGTCCTTTAAGTATCTAAGTTATTTTTGTTCATTAACGATAACTTTATGCTTCAAAATTGTTCACCTTGTGTAAATTGTTCAATATCTGTATCTTATCTGACATACAAGTTCCTTTAGCGGTAAGACTCAGTATGTCACACTTAGACTCAGCAGAGTTTCACAAGTGTATTAGATTAACCTCAGCACCACAAACCTCATCTCTTGGTCGTCACGTCTTAAGTATGTATGTATGTATGTATGTACGTATGTGTGTATGTATGTATGTATGTATGTATGTATGTATGTATCTTAGGTTCTGTAAGTTATATATCAAGATGGAGAGAGGGGTGTGTGTGTGTGTGTGTGTGTGTGTGTGTGTGTGTGTGTGTGTGTGTGTGTGTGACAGTACGAGAGAGAGTGTGGTTGGTATGTAATTGTGTTAGAGAGAGAGAGAGAGAGAGAGAGAGAGAGAGTATGAATGTGTTAAGGTGAAAGAAAGAAAGAAAGAGAATAAACCAAAATAAAGTAATGTCTTTAATAAACTCATTATATTAAAGAAGTATAAATCAATTCTCCATAACAAACGGCGTAGCTGTTATCCGCAGGAGAATTCACAAATGACTTAATATTCGTAATCCACAATAATTCACTTTTCATAATCTTCCCCCCATAAACTGGTCTAACAAAAGGCACACGGGTACCCTATATAGCCTTGTGTGTGGGTGAGGTGTCGTCAGTAATCCACATAGAGAGGTAGAGGGCGGCGTCCTTGTTGTCTTGGCAGTTTTCGGGCGTCTAGAGGATGTTGGTACTCGTAGAAGTGTTATATCATCGTTGACTGGTGTGAGAGAGTACCGGAGACTAGAGTAGAGGTCGTGTTCTCCCTCTCTCCTCCAATGGGAGTCTGGATGATCGTCGCTATAGATGAACCTTCTCTGTGATTGGTCGTAACTATCGCGCCTGATTCTGATGTGTCCTCTGGTTGGTTAGAGCAGGAACCAATGACGTGTCAGGACTCCACCATATGCGCCACCTCACGGAAGCCAACTAAGAACTTGGCGCTGCCGCTACAACTCTCCAGACCTGCAACAGAAACACACCTTTATCAAAATACACCTTCTTATCTATATTATCTATGCACTAATATTCAGTCACAATATTATAGCTGTTAATATAGTACCATAGAGCTTATATTAGTCGTTATTATATAGAAGAGCGATATATATAAGATTCTGTCCTGGAGAAAATATTATAATCTTTTTCTTGATGTTCAAATACAATACATTATCCTACTTACTTGTACACTGCCTCTTGTTACACTGCCTAAATGATGGTTAACTGGATGGCTATACCGTAAGTTCTGCCTAGGACTGGATATCACCGTCAGAAAGGAATGGGCCATTGTTTTGATTTGTGCTCTCTCTCTCTCTCTCTCTCTCTCTATATCTCTCTCTCTCTCTCTCTCCCTCTCCCTCTCATTTTGCCTTCCTCTCTCTCCCTGCTCCTCTCCCCCACTCTCCCCGCCCCCTCTCCCTGCCTCTCTGCCACTCCCTGCTTCTCTCCCTACCTCTCTCCCTGCTCCTCTCTCCCACTCTCCCGCCCCCTCTCCCTGCTTCTCTGCCACTCCCTGCTTCTCTCCCTGCCTCTTTCCCCCTCTCCCCTTTCTCCTGCCTCTTGCCACTCCTGCTTCTCCCTCTCTCTGCTCCTCTCCCCTCCCGCCCCTCTCCCTGCCTCTCTGCCCTCCTGCTCTCCCCGCCTCTCCCCCCTCTCCCCACCCCCTCTCCCTGCCTCTCTGCCACTCTCTGCTTCTCTCCCCTGCCTCTCTCTGCTCCTCTCTCCCTCTCCCGCCCCCCTCTCCCTGCCCCTCCTCTGCCACTCCCCTACCTCTCTCCCTGCCTCTCTCCCCCCACTCTCCCCCGCCCCTCTCCCTGCCTCCTCTGCACCCTCCCCTGCTTCTCTCCCTGCCTCTCTCCCCACTCTCCCCGCCCCCTCTTCCCTGCCTCTCTGCCCTCCCCTCTTCTCTCCCCACCTCTCCCTGCTCTCTCCTCCCTCTCCCTTCCCCTCTCCCTGCCTCTCTGCCACTCCCCACCTCTCTCCCTGCCTCTCTCCCCCACTCCCCGCCCCTCTCCCCTGCCTCTCTGCCCTCCCTACTTCTCTCCCCTGCCTCTCTCCCCCACTCTCCCACCCCCCTCTCCCTGCCTCTCTACCACTCCTGCTTCTCCCTACCTCTCTCCCTGCTCCTCTCCTCCCTCTCACCCCCTCTCCCTGCCTCTCTGCCACTCCCTGCTTCTCTCCCTGCCTCTCTCCCCACTCTCCCCGCCCCTCTCCCTGCCTCTCTGCCACTCCTGCTTCTCTCCCCTACCTCTCTCCCTGCTCCTCTCCCCCACTCTCCCCGCCCCCTCTCCCTGCCTCTCTGCCACTCCCTGCTTCTCTCCCTACCTCTCTCCCTGCTCCTCTCTCCCACTCTCCCCGCCCCCTCTCCCTGCCTCTCCCTCCCTTCCTCCTGGACTTACATGAGGACAGTGATCCTGGGGAAGAACCTTCACCTTCATAAGCGTAGTTTCTCAGGTCGTCGCCGGCTGGAGGGTTGCCAAGACAGGTCCTGCTCGGTCTCCTCTCCACGTCAGCAGCTCCTCCTCCCGTGGCCGCAGGAGCCTGGCGTCTGTCTCTCTGGTGTGGCGCCGCTGGTTCACCTGAGGCGCCATCACCCTCCTGCTGGAACTGGTGGGTCGTGTCGTCCTTGCTAGCGGCTGGTGAGGACATTTCTATCTGTAGGACGTCCACGTCTGAGGCAAGAATGTTAAATGGTTAATGAACTGTCAGTGGTTTTTACATGCTAGTGTGTCTATTCCACCCAGTTGGTAATTAGTTGGAATTACGTTACAGTCGACCTAAGTTTCGCTATTTCCAGGTGGTGTAGTGGATGATGCATGTTGCTCGTTATGTTGTGCGTCATGTTACCCAATAACCATATTAAAAATGATTGATCCTTCTAACCTCACAGAGAATATTAGTACATAGCAACTCGTTCTTCTCGTCGTATCATGAATTTGTCAGGTTTCTCGTCTGGACATAATTTACGAGAAAGGTTTATGAGTAATTGCCTGTATCATTGTTACGATATTTTGTTTAGATTTAAACTTCAACGACTTAACATAAACTCAACATAAACCCTGATTCATCCTCCTGTGTAATGCTGGCATGGAGGACCCGAGAGGAGGCTCAGCAGGTGGTGACTCACCTGCAATGTTGGGGTTCTTGGTCCAGGCTGGCTGGCCGTTGGCTCTCGGGGGCTTCAGCAGCTGCAGCTCCAGCAGGTTGGGCGTGTGGCTGCAGGGCGGCGATACTTGTTCTTTACAGGTGACTGTGTCGTCCTTGTCGTTGGGGGCGCCCCTGCGTAGCGCGGACCGTCGGTGGTGCTGGTGCAGCAGGAAGGCGCAGATCAACACTGTAAGGCGGAACCAACCATGAGCTGGGCGAGAACCAACCATGAGCTGGGCGAGAACCAACAATGAGCTGGGCGAGAACCAACCATGAGCTGGGCGAGAACCAACCATGAGCTGGGCGAGAACCAACCATGAGCTGGGCGAGAACCAACCATGAGCTGGGCGAGAACCAACCATGAGCTGGGCGAGAACCAACCATGAGTTGGGCGAGAACCAACCATGAGCTGGGCGAGAACCAACCATGAGCTGGGCGAGAACCTACAACCATTTTATACACTCCTATCATTCTTGGTGTATGTTTCCATTAACAGGATGAAGGTTTTCCGCACGAACTAAACCAACTTGATTATTCCCATAAGAAAGAAGAAACTGTATTTAATTCAATGTTGTGATTTATGCCACTGCTCTGAGTAAACAACATCAACATAACTCACGCAGCAGGAAGATGCACCACACAACAATGGTGACCAGAATCCCAAGAGGCAGCTTGAGGGATGTCTCCTCCACGTGTGGCAGGTGACAGTGTCTTCCACTGAACCCCGCCGGACACACACACACGTAACCTGACACACACAGCGAACAAATATTAACCTGTTTAGCAAAATAAACAAACGAACAGTGAGTAACACTGTCAGTATAATGTCAGTATAATTTGTGACAACATAAAATATTGCTTATTTGTATCTTTAACTGTCATGGAAACAAAACACACACACACACACACACACACACACACACACACACACACACACACACACACACACCCACCCACCTGGCTGGGTGTTGAAGCAGGAACCACCGTTGAGACAGGGCTGCCACACACACTCGTCCTCGTCGTCACAGGAGGTCTGGCTGCTGGTCAACACACGTCCCTCACCACACCTACAGGGACAACACCTGTCATTATAACCCTTTACTCTCAACACTACTTCACCCACGACCTTCACTAGCTAGATACAACGACGGTGAATGTTATTATACATACAACACAGCCAAGCTTAAACCTTCAGGAGCACACAAGAACAAGTCATTTACGGAAGCCACAAAGTAAAAAGATATTTATCCATTGGTCCTTTTATATAGAAGAAATGGGTCGAAAAGCTTGAAAAAAAAAAGACTGATGAATAGAAATCTAAAAAACCCACAAAATATCTTATAATACATCGATATTTACGAACTTGTTTCCTAATACTTGTAGTTATAAGAGTAAACCCTGAAAATGTTTATATGGACATTTAAGAAAAAAAATATAAGAACACATTTACAGCCATAAGACGAAACATTTACACACTCAGAACATCCACCACTCAGAATATTTCCTCGGCAGAATGAATAGATGTCTCTGAGTGTTAGTAGTGTACTGATCTTCCCTTACAACGTGTCCACCTTATTGCAGAGTTATTATACAGGTGTTATGCAAGTTATTACAACAGGTGGAAATAAATGTTGTAAATAACCTGACTGAACTCAACACACAATACTTTTTCCTTGTCCTTGCACTCGACCTTAAGCGACGCCTCTGCATATCATTACTCTATTCACCTTTGTCATTTAGTTAATTAATGTACCCAACACCTACAGCCCTTCCCAGAAAATTGTTTGATGTTTTGTTACAGTTATCGTGTATTACAGTAATCATAGAGGTATGTTGTGGGATGTAGTATTGTTGTGCTTTTAGAGGATACGGTGGAGGGGTAGGTGGGGGGAGGTAGAGGGGAGGGGAAGGGGTAGGTGGAGGGAGGTGGAGGGAGGAAGGGGGTAGATGGAAGGAGGTGGGGGAGGATGAGGGAGTGAGTGGAGGAGGTGGAGGAGAGGTAGGTGGAGGGAGGTGGGGGAGGGAAGGGGGCCAGGTGGAGGGAGGTAGATGGGGAGGGAAGGGGGTAGGTGGAGGGAGGTAGATGGGGAGGGAAGGTGGGTGGAGGAGGTAGAGGGAGGAAGGGGTGGGTGGAGAGGGAGAGTGAGAGAGGGGAGGGGAAGGGGGTGGGTGGAGGGAGGTAGATGATGGGGGAGGAAGGGTAGGTGGAGGGAGGTAGAGGGAGGAAAGAGGTAGGTGGAGGAGGTGGAGGAGGGAGGCTGTGGTAAACTAATGTGGAGTGTTGTGTCTATATTTTTTCCACCTCTTGATGTAAACAAATGGATAAACACACAGACAGACAAACAGACTACTACTACTACTACTACTTTTTTTTTTTTTTTTTTTATAAACGTGGCCTCCAGCCTCCCCCAATAGCCACACCTTCGCCACCATTTATTTACCTTAATATTAAATATCCTAATACATAAGCAACTATCCTATCTGTGTTAAATTAGTTGAGCCGCAGATCGATGCGGCATTCGGTGACTGTAGCCTCATAGTCGATATCTGCAGCAGTTGACGGAGTAGGGGCAGAAGCTCTCGTTCCCCTGAGGCAGAGCAAAGCCGACCGAAGGAGAGAGAAGGACAGTCGACATCTCATCCAGGCTGTGACATAACTTCTGGGCTGCTGCTTCTGTTCGGAGATCAGCTCCGCGAGTCTGGCGTAGAAACATCTTGCGCTTGGGCCCATCCCACCAGCGGTTGTGAACACTAGCGGAGTGAAGCTGCCTTGATCGACATTTTGAATTCTCTCCCCATATGCCCTTCTCTTGTCGTTCTCGTTCCTCCTATGTGCAGCATCGAGAGCTAGGTTACGGTGACAAACGGCCATGGGATCAAAAATCCTGATGTCGAAGGCTCGCTGTCCCCGCGTCCAGAATCCTCGAGCACTGACGTCCACACGGGCTTCGTTAGATGTGTTTGAAGTCCTGTGTTGGAGGATCTCGCCATCCAGTGGAAGGAGGGTCGGTTCTACCATGACGTCCCGGCAGGTTTCCTTCAACATATTTGCTGTGAGATCCCTTACCTCGTCATGCCTCATGCATATGAAGCCCCCCTTCTTGCAAACCATGGCGTGATCGCCATCATAGGAATAGCCACACACGCATTGGGAGGGCAAACCATCTACTGGCCAACCGTACCTTAGAGCAATGGCATCTGTAAATTCTTGTTTGTTAAGGCTGAAACCATTTGCCCTTATCGGTAACGTAGTTAACCAGTTCGAGGCGCCCACCTCCTGCGCTATAGCTACTTTTTTTGTCAAATTTTCTGGAACCTGCAGCAATAGTTGCTGCAACATGTCATTTTGGCAGTGCTGCCGATCTGTTGTAATGGATCTACGGATCTTATTAACTTCGCTGGTGTCCACTTCCCCTGTTGCATTCTGGGCTATTATGTGGTCAGTGAGGGCTGCCGTGAGCTTAAGTGAATTTTGATGTTCAGAGTCAGCAATCTCCTCTGGATTAGTTAGTCCCATCCCTCCCAGTCTTGGTGGAAGTGCAAGAAGTGTTCTTTCTACTGGGGTTAAGTCGTGGTGTTTCACTAGTTTGGGAATGAACTTGACACTGATTGCTTCTTCCAAAGGGTGGAGGAGGGGTCGGATCTCAGGGATGGTACGCATCAGGTAGTTCCAACGATGCTTGACTCCATGTGTGAATGCTGCAAAGGCCGCATGTGGCTCTGTGTTAGCAATCTCCGATAGAGCATGGATTTCGCTAACCCACTCGTTCACCTTTCCCCCTACGTACTGGGTCTTGAAGTCCGTAGTGCCAATTACTGCGCCTAGATGTCTTTGGCCGTCCTTAGTTATTTTGACCTCACTTTCGCCGAAAACCTCCACAGCCCGATCATAATGATCTGGCTTCACGATGAGGAAGGATTTGCTGGCGTTTGGGTGGTACCCTATTTGTGGACCTCGCGATGTTACCAGGTCCCACCACTTTTTGATGTCCTCCACTTTTCCTGCTCCTGTGAGGTCATCAGCATATGCCACTTGTTTGACCCCAGTTGTTTCATACTTTATTTCTTGTTGGAGCACTGATAGGCCTATTGCATACATTGCCATTGCAACGGGGTCTCCCTGTGTTGTTCCCTCGGTCGACTGTAGGATGGTATCACCTCGTAGAGCCTTGTTGTTTACTACGTAGAGGTCTGAAGGATTCCTATACGAATTTTCAACATACATCGCAAAGCTAGGACACTTGATCTTGATGTTGTGCAGTGCCGCCTTGCGGTTAAGTATGTTGAATGCGTTTGAAGCATCCACCAGGAGAACGGCCTCACAATCACGCTGCTCAAATATCAATCTCATGGCGTGAATGGCCGCCTCCCCACCAGCCTGGTGGCCAGCACACACTTGTAGGTTCCCTGCTGCTGCCCTGACATCATCCTTTACCACCTCCATTATACTACTACTACTACTACTTTGCTGTCATCGGAATCGAGTATGACGATCATCCAGCTATGAGCCTATGATATGTGTTATTAAGGATGTTACCTTCGTTGGTGAGCTCTGATGTGACTAGAGATGCCGATGCGAGACCGGCAGGGCCGTCCACAGATGTTGCACGTGTGGAGGGCTACACCTAAGGCGGGAGGGGCGGCGGGAGCGTCTTTTCGGTGTTGGTGCTTGTCTGCCTCGGTATGCAGTCGGGCTAACTCGAAAGTATTGACACCTTCTAGTGTGGTGTTCCTCCAAGCGTTACGGTGTGGAGTAATCGTCTCCCAGGTGAGGGGGTCGATTTAGCACTTTTTCAGGTTTGTCTTAAGACTATCCTTATACCTTTTCTGTTGCCCGCCAGCGTTACGTTTACTATTCGTTAGGTGACTGTAAAGTAGCTGCTTTGGCAGTCTACTGTCGTCCATGCGGCTAATATGCCCAGTCCAGCTCCTACAGTTGGTGTCAGCGAGAATACTCGCAATTGTTCTCTTGTCTTCACAGCGAACTCGTAGGATGGAACGTAGACTATGTTGGCAAAAGTTTCCAAGTACATTGAGGTGCCTTCTATATGTGACCCATGTCTCGCTGCCATATAGCAGGGTGGGGAGAACTACTGCTCGATATATGTGCAACTTTGTAGATAATTTCAGCTCCCTACAGCTGAAGAAGTGGGTACGGAGTCTGCCAAAGGCTTGAGATGCACATCTGATCCGATGTTAAATCTCTTTATTGATGTCCGCGGTGGTGGACAGATGGGAGCCGAGATACCCAAAGTGAGTAACATTAGAGAGGGTAGTACCGTTAAGCTGGATGGATGGTGGTGTGGCTGAACCAGGGGCAGGCTTAAAGAGAATCTGAGTCTTATGTACATTCACCTCAAGGCCGAAATGTGCATACACATCTACATAAGTGTTGCGGATCTCCTGTAGGTCGCGTTCAGTGTGAGCGACAAGGGTGAGGTCATCTGGATATTGAAGCTCAGTAATGGAAGCTACCAACAACTTTGTTCCTGCCTGGAGTCGTCTTATGTTGAAAAGCCCCTTCATCTGGTACAGGATGTCCACCCCACCGGCTAAATTGGCACTGACACGAGTAATGAAGGCAGCCAAGAAAATGGAAAAGAGATTTGGTGCCAGTACACATCCTTGTTTTACTCAGACTGGGTGCCATTGTGCAGGACACTGCCGTTCATGCCATCGTGGGGTTGCCTCACAATGGTGATGAATTTTGGTGGTCAGCCAAAACGGCTGAGGGTCCGCCAAAGGGTTTTCCTGTTGACTGAGTTGAAACCCTTGGTTAGGTCGATGAAGGACATGCACAAGTTACGACGCTGTTCTGCATTTTTCCTGCATCTGGCGGGCAGCAAAGATCATGTCAGTGGTGCCACGTGATGGTCTAAAGCCACATTGAGATTTGGGGAAGAAGTTTTCCGCCTCAGGAAGAAGTCTGTTTATGAGGACTCGGGCGATAATCTTGCCAGCTACGGACAGCAGCGAGATCCTGCGGTAGTTGCCACAGTCTGACCGGTCTCCCTTGTTTTTATAAATATTGACGATGGAGGCGTCTTTAAGAGTTTGGGAGATTTCCTCCTTTTCCCATATATTTTCCAGTAGAGAGTGGAGACGGCTGGTAAGCAGAGGTCCTCCTGCTTTATGCACCTAGGCTGGGATTCCATCGGGCCTTGAGGCTTTGTTATTTTTCATCTGTGTGATGGCAGTAGATACCTCATCCAGGGATGGAGGATAGCTGATGTGGGTCAGCTCTGGATGCTGAGGGACCTGCTGGGTAGTCAGAACATCCACATTGGTGTTTTGGTTGAGCAATGAATGGTAGTGCTCTTTCCAGCACTGAAGGAGGCCTTCATCGTCTTTAATTATGTAGTTACCGTCAGATGAGCGGAAGGGGGCTGCGCCATGAGTGGTTGGCCCATAAAATATTTTAATGAAATTGAAAAATTCGCGCATCTTGTGCTGATCTGCATGTTTTTGTATTTCACATGCTTTATTTTTACGCCAGTTATTCTTTAGAATGCAAAGTTCCCGCTGAGCTGCCGCTTTCTTCTTGCGGAAGGTATCAGCTTTGGTCCAAGACTGAGGGTTGTTCTGCCAGTCAGTAAAAGCAGCACATTTATCATCGATGAGTAATTTGATTGCCGGGTCATTTTCATCAAACCAGTCCTGGTGTATTCTTTTGATCTGGCCGAGGGTCTCTCTGCAGGTTTTTGTCATAACACACACACACACACACACACACTACAGAACCCTTCCTGTGAGAGGTAGTATCACGACCTCCTTCAGCGTGGGTGAGTAGTTTCTCCCTCTCTCTCCCGTCCGTCAGGCACTGTGTCATCCTCACAGGGAGACTCATATATATATATATATATATATCCTCAACATCATAACGTTCCTCACCCTACACCTCCTCCTCCTCCTCCTTGTCCTCCTTTTCTTCACCTCTCCCTCCTCCTCCTACCCCCACTCCAGTTCAGACTTGCTTTGATGCTCAACTTTGAAGTTCTTCTACATAGAGCGGTGACGCCTACCATATCCCCCCTCACAAATAATAATAATTATAACAACAACAATAATAATAATAATAATAATAATAATAATAATAATAATAATAATAATAATAATAATAATGATAATAATAATAATAATAATAATAATAATAATAATAATAATAATAATATTAATAATAATATTAATAATAATAATAATAACAATAATAATAACAACAACAACAACAGTATATCGTCAACCATTATGCATATCAAAGTATATTAACATCTTTTTTATAAATTTAATTAAACAAAATAGACATTAATTATTATTTTGTGACGGCTAAAATGAATTGGTATTTAATTAAGTTTTACCGTGAAGTAGCGAGGTGTCATGTTTCTGGGAGTAATGACTTTGGCTAATTTACTGTAATAGTGAGTCTTGTTATTTTGTCGGTGTTTAGTAGGTAACGTATTATGGTGTGTGTGTGTGTGTGTGTGTGTGTGTGTGTGTGTGTGTGTGTGTGTGTTACGTCTGAGAGTGGAGGAGGAGGAGGAGTTCATGCCTCCAATATTCAACAGTGTCTCGCCCACGTCCTGAGTCTCAAATAGCTGAGGAGTGACAGAAGGAGGGACGGGGAGTGACGGGAGGAGGAATGGCAGTGACGGGAAGTGGCAAGGAGTGACGGGAGGAGCTGAGATGTTGGCCTCCACTCCATCAAAGACCTGGGTGACTCCTGGTACACTAACATCAGAAGCGGCTTGACTAGTGATGGCAGGGTGTCACACAGGCTAGAGTGAGAACCTTTCTACAGGTATGCATGAGAGAGGAGAGAGAGCGAGAGCGAGAGAGAGAGAGAGAGAGAGAGAGAGAGAGAGAGAGAGAGAGAGAGAGAGAGAGTCTCAGTCCTCACCTACCTCACTCTACACTTAGCTACATCATCACTTTCACTTGGTAGTTTTTGCTTTACGTTGGAAGAGCGAGAAGAGTATAAGGATAGACAAATTCTCATTACGAAGAAGAAGGTGATAAAGACACGTGGATTACATAGTGAAGATTACCTGAGAAGCGGAGGGTTAAAAGGTTAGGTCATTAGTGGACAGAGTTCGGTGCCTTGGTACAGACCCGCAGTGGTAGGACCTCCAGGTGTCGACGCAAGTGAGCGGGGTCCTGCAGGACACGTTGGCACAGGCAGGAGGGGCGCCACACCCCTGCTCCACGTCCTTCAACACGCTCGCCTGACCCCACGCTGTGCTGTTGACCGCAGGCGGCAGCGGCACTCCACGACCTGAGATCCGCAGGTCGTCCATGCATCCTAAAGGTGGAATTAGATTAGTGTGTTTTAATGTTCCGGTTTGTCAGTCCGTCTGTTTGTATTTATGTCTGTCCGTCTGTTTGGCCCCCTCTTCTCTCTCTCTCAGTCCTCACATACCTGCAAACGCACACAATTTAGGCCCACATATTCATTTTCTCACGTGACGCACCCGTCTTCCTGTCCTGTACATCTTGTTCTGTATGTGTCTACTCCCTCCCTCCCGTCTTACTCTTGTTATCACCATTAATCTATTTATTTAGTGTCTTGGCTGGTTGAAAGGCCAGTCTCCTCCTCCCCTTCCTCCCCCCTCCTCCTCCCCCCTCCTCCTGCTCACCATCAAAGTAGTCGTTCTGGATCTTAAAGACGCTCACGTCCAGGAACTCTGGCGACCCTCCTATGTGGACGCCCTCTTGTTTGTCCACCTCCAGCAGCTGACGTCCCTCCAGCACGACGGAGGCGTTGTACAGGTCACCGTCCCCGTCATCCACCGTCAGAAAGGTCGCCGACCCGTACCTGTCAACACACCTGGGCGTCAGCGGCTGCAACTCTCTCAGGTGTCAGGGGTAATAATGTGATGCGGCTCCAGTAATGATCACTCCTCGCAAATAACTTATGACGAGATGTTTATAGTACAGGAGGTAGTGACGCCTTTAAGAGAGTACCCGTGAGTCTCACAACAATTAACTTGGGGATTAAGTGAAGTTCTTTCATTTTTGTCTCTCTGTAAATGAACCAACAGACTCAGGACAACGTGTACATTGTTGTGTTGAATTTGTTCAGCAATTTTAAGTGAAAAGGGAAACATAACAGAGGGTGTAAGAATGTGTGTTAAGTCAAGAGTGTCTGTGTGTGTGTGTGTGTTGCCGTCGGTCTGATAACTGATTTAGGTCTTAATTTTACGACGATTAATTTAATTGATATTGTGATGTATTGTTGCGCTTCTAGGTTACATTAGGTTGGGTTAGGTTAGGTTAGGTTAATGCTAGGTTAGGTTAGGTTAATGCTAGGTTATGTTAGGTTAGGTTAATGCCAGGTTAGGTTAGGAGATAGATAGTAGTGACTCAGTACCTGGCAATGTTATTTACTAGGAAGTGCCAGTACCTTGCAGCGGTGGGGGTGCGCCAGTACCTTGCAGCGGTGCCAGCACCTTGCAGCGGTGGGGGAGTGCCAGTACCTTGCAGCGGTGGGGAGGCCAGTACCTTGCAGCGGTGGAGGGGGAGGCCAGCACCTTGCAGCGGTGGAGGAGTGCCAGCAGCGGTGGGGGGTGCCAGTACCTTGCAGCGGTGGGGGGTGCCAGCACCTGCAGCGGTGTGGGGAGTGCCAGTACCTTGCAGCGGTGGGGGGAGTGCCAGTACCTTGCAGCAGTGAGGGAGTGCCAGCGGCCGTCGGTGAGGGAGGCCCGGGAGAGACAGAGGGAGGTCTGGGGTCGAGGGTGGAGGTGCAGCACCACACACAGGCGGCCGCCCATCACCTCTACTGACCAGCTGTCACGCCCATGTTGTGACGCCAACGCCACCAGCTGCCCTCTCCTCCTCCACGTCCTGAACCTGCGGCGCAACACATACCTGAGGTTACCTGAGACTACCTGGTGAGGAGAGTGAAAGGGACAGTACCCCTGGTGAGGAGAGTGAGAGGGACAGTACCTGGTGAGGAGAGTGAGAGGGACAGTAACTGGTGAGGAGAGTGAGAGGGACAGTACCTGGTGAGGAGAGTGAGAGGGACAGTACCCCTGGTGAGGAGAGTGAGAGGGACAGTACCTGGTGAGGAGAGTGAGAGGGACAGTACCTGGTGAGGAGAGTGAGAGGGACAGTACCCCTGGTGAGGAGAGTGAGAGGGACAGTACCTGGTGAGGAGAGTGAGAGGGACCTACAGGGTGAAGGAAGACAGATCCACAGGTATACAACAGGTGTGACATTACCGCTGGCAAGAAAAAGTTCAATAAGTTAATTTCTAATTCCAAGATGAAAGGTGTGTTCGTCCAAGAGTTAGCCCAGCGTTAACTTACTCTCGATGTTTCGTTCCAAATTGTGGTTTTGTTTTCTATTTTCTTCCAAATCCCTGAATTAGGTTCTACTGGACACGATGATTAAGGATCTGGAGTGAAAAAGATACAGCTTTTTTAAGTAATTATTCAAAGGTCTCTTGGAAAAATGTCGTGTGTTTTACGACCTTAATTACTCGCTTCCTGTCAATCTTGGATGATGATATTTGGTGGTTTGCTGTTATTATTTGTTTGTTAAAGTCGCTAAATACGGTGAGTTGAACTTAAAGAAAATAAAGTGTTTTGGGCCTAAACAAATCACCAAGGAAACCGGCTAGACACACAGTGGTGTTGGGTTTACCTGAGGGAGATGGAGGTAGTGTAGCCGAGGGGGGTGAAGGAGAGAGCCAACTTGACGTAGCTGTTGAGCAGGAAGGTGGTGGGCGTAGTGGGTGTGGCACACCCTGGCCCTGACCACCCGAGCTGGCACTCACACCGCAGCGATCCAGGTGAACCTTGACACCTGCCGAGACACCTTGATTAAACGCTATAAATAATACTCTCTCTCTCTCTCTCTCACTTAGTACACACAGTAACATTAAGACGTATCACAGTGTCAACACGAGTGACTGACCTGCCGTGAAGGCCACAGTAGAGGCCGCTGGAGAGACAGTCAGCAGCGACACACCCGGGAGAGCTGGCGCGGCTCAGTACCTCACTACCCAGGTCCACCAGCTGAGGGAAACACAAGGATTACCTCACTTAACCACCATTAACCTGTAAATAATTGTGTATTATAAATTATAGTACCTTTTAAATTAATTCTAACTCTGGGGCAGGATTCTTAGCATCTGTTGAGTCTTATTGGCAAAAACTACCCTTATACCTTCACTACTACACCCAGCAGAGTGATGTGATTCTGTCCTCACACACCTCAAGCCTCCTTCACTCTTGACATAACCTCAATACCTGGCACTAGTCAACAGCTCAGGAGGTCCTTGCCCACATCATCATCTATATGTACCTTGAGTGACGTAAGTGTGTGTGTGGCGAGATTTACCAGAAATAGTTTTACATTACCATGATGTTCAGTGAGTTAATACTACTACAAACACATTATGAGGTTCTATACAGGTTGACATTAACTGTTTCTAGATTTTTAGTTAAACTAATGATTCGCTTTAATAGTTATTACTGTAGTTCAGTTTGAGGTAAACACCTCTTGTGTTACAGTGTTCCCCCGTGTACAGGTTATTGCTCTCACCTGGCCGTTCACTCTCAGGTTCTTGATACATCCTCGGAAGGGAGGTGGGCGGGGGGACGACGGGCCGTCGTGGAGGGTGTGGGGTAGGGACGGGTGGGCCAGCCCACCTATTTGCAGCGGCCCACTTGTGTTAAGGATCCCCGCTACTTGGGGCAACCTGGCGGCACTCTTGCAGGGCAGAGCAGAGTGGTTGTGGGCGGGGCTGGAGGGCGGAGTGGCGGCCTCGTCTAGGCTGCCGCCCGTACACAAGTCCACGATCAGCTGCACTGTCTGGGTAGGAGGCCGATAAGAATCTGTATTAATCATAACAATCTTTAAGTTCTCTACTCACACCGGCATCACCATTGTACCGGGAGCGCCACCAACACAAGTCACCGTGATGATATATTTGTCAACAGATTGATCACCACAGATGACTCTCAGAGTATAAACGTTGGTCTGCCTCACCGTATACTGTACCGTGTTCTGTGGCAGCGTCCAATACCTGACACAAACATGTCTGTAATCTGTCAACCAACACAACACACACCGCCTTAGGCTTATTTAACTACGTTCCCGGCCAATATTTGTTTTATGTAAATACTGTATTAAAGGTTATGGTAACAATATAAACATAATCAAGTATATATTATCATGTTTTAATTGTACACGTGCAGCACCTCGCGTGTGTTGCTCTCGCTGTGTTAACGTGCAATTAAGAATCATCGCCCCTCCCTCCTCCCGTGTTACTCACCTGGTCCTTCCAGATGAGGTCGATCCTGTGCCAGGTGTTGTCAGCGAGGGAGTAAGAGGCGTTGAGGACGAGGGTGACGGGGCCGCCCCCCAGGTCCAGCAGGAGGGAGGGGCGGCCCTGACGCAGCTCCAGCAGCAGCAGGTCACTAACAGCCCCCGCCGCCCCCTGGTCTGACCCCGAGTACAGCAGGGTGGCCGCCCCAGACCTGGTGAGCACCTCCATACTCAGGTGGACCTCGGTACAGGACGGGATGGGCGGCACCCACGCCCACCCGCCCCCACCACCCTCGAAGTGTCTGATGACCACCTTACAGCGGGAACCCCAGGTGTTGTGGGGACATATACACCTGTGTTGAGATAATGACCTTACAACAGGTGTGATGGTAACATATACTGTACACCTGTGTTGAGATAATGACCTTACAACAGGTGTGATGGTGACATATACTGTACACCTGTGTTGAGATAATGACCTTACAACAGGAGTGATGGTAACATATACTGTACACCTGTGTTGAGATAATGACCTTACAACAGGTGTGATGGTGACATATACTGTACACCTGTGTTGAGATAATGACCTTACAACAGGTGTGATGGTGACATACTGTTGAGATAATGAACAGTGATGGTGACATATACTGTACACCTGTGTTGAGATAATGACCTTACAACAGGTGATGGTGACATATACTGTACACCTGTGTTGAGATAATGACCTTACAACAGGTGTGATGGTGACATATACTGTACACCTGTGTTGAGATAATGACCTTACAACAGGTGTGATGGTGACATATACTGTACACCTGTGTTGAGATAATGACCTTACAACAGGAGTGATGGTAACATATACTGTACACCTGTGTTGAGATAATGACCTTACAACAGGTGTGATGGTGACATATACTGTACACCTGTGTTGAGATAATGACCTTACAACAGGTGTGATGGTGACATATACTGTACACCTGTGTTGAGATAATGACCTTACAACAGGTGTGATGGTGACATATACTGTACACCTGTGTTGAGATAATGACCTTACAACAGGTGTGATGGTGACATATACTGTACACCTGTGTTGAGATAATGACCTTACAACAGGTGTGATGGTGACATATACTGTACACCTGTGTTGAGATAATGACCTTACAACAGGTGTGATGGTGACATATACTGTACACCTGTGTTGAGATAATGACCTTACAACAGGTGTGATGGTGACATATACTGTACACCTGTGTTGAGATAATGACCTTACAACCATACTGTACACCTGTGTTGAGACCTTACATGGTGTGTTGGTGACATATACTGTACACCTGTGTTGAGATAATGACCTTACAGTGATGGTGACATACTGTACACCTGTGTTGAGATAATGACCTTACAACAGGTGTGATGGTGACATACTGTACACCTGTGTTGAGATAATGACCTTACAACAGGTGTGATGGTGACATATACTGTACACCTGTGTTGAGATAATGACCTTACAACAGGTGTGATGGTGACATCTACTGTACACCTGTGTTGAGATAATGACCTTACAACAGGTGTGATGGTGACATACTGTACACCTGTGTTGAGATAATGACCTTACAACAGGTGTGATGGTGACATACTGTACACCTGTGTTGAGATAATGACCTTACAACAGGTGTGATGGTGACATCTACTGTACACCTTACAATATATTTCACTTGTCATTGTTGTTTGTTATACAGTCTAAGATAAATGCTTATTTAACTCACCTGGTGCCCGTGGAGGTGGGCACACACCTGCCGCCATTGAGGCAGGTGTAGGGGGTGCAGATGGTGTGGTGGGCAGGTGCGGTGTTGCCACAGCCACAGGTGGTGAGGACCTCCACCCGGGGACCCACTACGGCCGAGGTGTGGGCGTCCACCACACTGAACCCCTCACCCAAGGCCGCCCAACACCCACTGATACACCTCCTTAACTCTTGTCCTCCAGTGTGGGCGGAATTGTGGGCGGTGTGATTGGCCTTTTGAGCACCTCGTTGACAGGTAATCACGCCCACGTCTCTGATATCAACACCGGTGGCTTGACTCAGCTGACCGTGTGAGAGAAACTCGTCAGGTAACTAAAGTGTCATAGCTGAGGATTAATGATTAGTTCTTTAATATGTTGGGACTTCATCTCTCGGTCATCAAGACATGAATTACAATATACACCAAGACCTTCTAAAACCTAACCTAACCTAAACTCACCTCACCTCACCTCACCTCGTACTTCCTATGCATTAAAAGATGATCGAAGTTGAGAATCCCGGATGATGTGAGCCAGACCCGGGTGGTGGGCGTGGTGTGTCCTTCCAATGGTTCTACCGACACCAACCGCACGCCCTCACCACCTCCATCTACCCACATCCTTACAGCCGCCACCAGTCGAGTGAGTATGGATGTTCCGGCCTGTAGAAGGGTGAAGGGGGGGGGGGTATCATTGTATGTTACGTTATGGATAAGAATTTTTAAACGCTCTCTCTCTCTCTCTCTCTCTCTCTCTCTCTCTCTCTCTCTCTCACCTCTCCTTCCTGCCTCACGACCTGGTGGCTGTCAGCTGCTAAGGTTAAGGGTGTGGCGGCGATGACGTCACGGGGGTCGAAGGAGTTGACCTGGACTGTCACGTTGGCCTCCACGTCCATTTGACCTTGGCTCAGGTCACTCACCTTGAACCTCAGCTCATACCTGGAGGGAGGGGGAGGGTCTAGTTAAGTCTGGGGTTATTTAAGAGGTTCTGTCTTCATAGAATACCTGAGAGATGTTCTGACATATGACAGATTTACAGATTGTCCCGTAGGGGGCTAGTCTATTGAGCACCCCCTTACATCCTGTGCAAGGTGAAGCGCAGAAGCGTTCAGAGCGCCCATCTGGGAAGCATGCTAAGTTCATGCTTTCCTTTATGACTCATGCATTAAGGGCGTAGAAGCCTGAAGGGTCATTGGTTTTGTCAGCAAGTTACATAAAGTGACAGAATGATGAGTGTGTGGGGGGAAAAGTTCCCGGTACATTTCATCTGTTTATGGCAAAGCGTGGCAGGTCCCTAATAATGTCAAGTGCCAGACCTGTCACTAGGAGGAGGGAAATCTGGTCAGGGAGGGAAGAGGTGTTGGTAACGGCTGGGGACCTGTAGGAGGAGGTCATAGGACAAGATGAGGTAGTTTTAGATACACCTTTCTCGAGGTCACCTTCACCTACCACCAGGTGTAGAGGGCCAACCACCAGGTGTAGAGGGTCAGGTGTAGAGGCCATCAGGTGTAGAGGTCACCTTCACCTGCCAACCACCAGGTGTAGAGGTCACCTTCACCTACCAACCATCAGGTGTAGAGGTCACCTTCTCCTTCACTTACCGGCCATCAGGTGTGTCAGGGGTCATGGTCAGGTCGCCGGTGGAGGTGTGGAGGAGGAAGCCAGGCTGGCGGCGGTGTCGCCAGGCGTAGATCTTGTCTACTGAGTCCCAGTCATCCGGGTCCCTCACGTACACCTTCCCCAGGGGCACCACCACCCCCTGGTGCTGGGAGAGAGAGAGAGAGTCATCCCAGGGGCACCACCACCCCCTGGTGCTGACGGAGAGAGAGAGAGTCATCCCAGGGGCACCACCACCCCCTGGTGCTGGGGGAGAGAGAGAAAGTCATCCCAGGGGCACCACCACCCCCTGGTGCTGGGGTTGATGATCTGCACTAATATATACACAGTAGTGGTCAGTGACTGACCCTGGAGGGTGTGGTCAGTGACTGACCTGCAGGGTGTGAACAGTGACTAACCTGGAGGGTGTGGACAGTGACTGACCCTGAACAGTGACTAACCTGGAGGGTGTGGACAGTGACTGACCCTGAACAGTGACTAACCTGGAGGGTGTGGACAGTGACTGACCCTGGACAGTGACTGACCTGGAGGGTGTGGACAGTGACAGTCTTGGCGGCGGGAGTCATGGGGTTGTCGTTAAGGTCGGCGACGTGGACGGTGAGGGTGACGGTGGCGGAGAGGGGCGGCCACCCAGCGTCGCCCACCACCAGCGGCACCAGCAGGGCGCGGCGCTCCTCCCGGTCCAGCCCCGCCCGCGCCCACACCACGCCCACCCCGCGCCCCTCGTCCCCTTCTGTAGGAGAGAACACACACATGCGTCTATATAATTTAGTAGTTAATACAAGACAACAAAGGTATAATGACGGTCATATAAATCATCATATACAGGTCATATACAGGTCATATACAGGTCATATACAGGTATTTTATTGACCCATTCGTTCACCTCCCAGTAATTAAAGGAATTGATTTAATTTATAATACATGACAATAATGAAATAAAATTTACAAAATGATGTAAAATATGTTGAACTGTTTTGTTATTTATATTGAAACCTCTGGCAGTTTCATGCACAATACACACACACACACACACACACACACACACACACACACACTGTTTACTAGGGATGAGGAGCCTACATGGTTAGTAAACAGACACCGGAACATCTGACAAACCTCCACCCTTGCTTATTTCACCTGAAGATTCACCACCCTAACACCACCCTAAGACCACCCTAAGACCACCCTAACACCACCCTAACACTATTTGGGGGATGAGGTTAGGTTAGGTAAGCTTTACGGTGATTAATTTTGAAGTGAATTAAGGTCGTAGTCCGGTCTTAATTATTTAAAAATTCTTGATCATTGTAATAGAAAACATTTATATGGATACAACTAACCCAAGTGTACAGTGTGTGTGTGTAAAAGCCATAGACATACACTCAGTAATTTAACCGTAACAACTCACTCCTGTCGTGGGTGACGGTGAAGGTGCTGGTGACGTGGTGGGGCGCCCTGGGGTCAAGGGTTAGGGTAAAGGGTGGCCCGTGACCCTGGCGCCAGTCGTCAGGGTCCCCCAGCGTCACCCGGGCCACCACCTGCGCCCCGCTGTTCTCCCTCACCTCCACCTGCCGCGGCTCCGCCAGGAACGGTGGGTTGTCGTTCACGTCCGTCACCTTCACCTGACGCACAATTACCTTCACATTACTGCTGAACCTAACCTAACCTAACCTAGCATTAGCGTCCTTCTCTCACATCACTTAACATCACCGGTCTAGGAGGCGTCAACCACTCTAGATGGATTGAGCTCTAGAGTGCACGGTGGCTGATGGTGAAACACACTAGAGTAATTTTCACCTGGGCACCGTTAACTTAGAGCGCATTTTACCCTCAGGTGAGATGAACTCTAGTGTTTTCACCATAGTAGAGTGCATCTCACCTGGTCAATCAACGTGGCGTATATTATAGTGAAGGTAGAGTATAATTAAGGTGGTATGTAATTAATAGAGCTTAATTAAGATAGAATATAAATAAATGACGATGAATAATTATCAGCTTAAAAAGTCTTAATGTAATCAAAAGAAAATTATAATTAAAATAGAAGAACCTAATTAAGATAGCTAGATAGATAAAGTATCAATAAATACTCACGTTAAGGGTGGCTGTAGCGGTCCTGGGCGGCACGCCATCGTCCACCGCCCACACCAGCACACGATGGGCGTCCGCTCTCTCCCGGTCGAGGCCGCCCACCAGCCACACCGCCCCTGACCCGTCCACCCCAAACTGCCGCCCGGGGTCACTGTCCTCCGCTATCTTGTACTGCACCCGACTCTGTCCTCCCTTGATGGTGTGGTCAGGAGGGAGGGTTAGTGGTGGTTAGGTTAGGTTAGGTTGGTGGTTGTTAGTGGGTCAGGTTTAAGTTAGTGGGTTAGACAGATATTACTGAAAGCCATTTAAAAATTATTAAAAAATTATCTGCTACAAAATGTTTGATTTAGTATAATCTTTTTTGACAGACAAGTGAGTCAATCAGAGTACCGTCTTCATATCTGAGGGTTGGCGACCACAGTCCTCCACTCTAAACCTTCTGGGTATGTTTTTACCAATTCTCTAAGGTTTTGCATCTCTCTGGGGACTCAGCTTTTAATTTCATTCACCCATCTCGGTCTCTGCCTTTCCCTGGCCCTCCTTCCCTCAACTTTACCCATTAATATTTCTGTTATTATTTCCTTAAACTTATTTATATGACCAAAGTTTCTCATTTTTCCTTTTCTGTACATTTCAAGTATTTCTCTTAAAGTTTTTGCTAATCTTAGTACTTCTTCATTTGTTTTCCTGTTATTGTAGCTTATTCTTAGCATTCGCTTATAACGCCACAACCTCTGTCTGGTGTAAATGTCCACGCTTCTGACCCATACAACAGTCCTTGCCCAATAAAACCTTTCAGCGGCTTTTTTCTCAAATTGAAGTTAATGGAGGGGTTAGGTTAGCTTTGTAGATAGATAGAAATAGACCAAATTTTACGTATAATGTTTATAAAAAAGATTAGGAGAGAGAGAGAGGGGGGGGGGGGTCATGTAGATGCCTCACGTGGTCAGGGTCAAGGGCGGTGAAGGTGGTGAGGAGGGTGCCGCGGGGCGTGTCCTCCGGCAGGGTGAGGTGGGTCAGGTCCTCACTAAACACTGGGTCGTTGTCGTTCACATCCACCACACGCAGCGTCACCCACGTCTCCGCTACGTGGCCCACCACACTCCATCCTTCCTCTCCCTGGTGGTGGCGAAGTAGAGAGTAATAACAACATCAACAACAATAATAATACTCTAATAATAATAACTGTGTAATAATAATAATAACAATAATAATAAACACAAAAGTTAATTCAATATATGTTCGTGTTCGCTATAGTGTCCGTGACATAATATTTCTGTACACAACAACATTTAGCGCCAGAATTCACCAGTCAACAAGACCTAATTGAACATTCGACAGAGGTAAACAAGACCTGAAATTGCCTTTGAAAATTAGTTCTAGACACATAGGAGATAAATTGCTCTTTACTACAGCACAGAGGCCACGTAAAAGCGTCCCTCAGGTGTGTTGGAAGCTCTGTAAATATATTAAAAGAAGCCACATTATATTACCTGTTAACTATGGACTCTCATTTGACTATTTACTCGGTGATATAGTGAGGAGTAAACGATATGACCCGGAGTTAAGAGATATTTGATTATTAAAGTCTTTTTTTTTCATAAGTTTGTATTTTATTCTTTTAAATTCGTGATGTTTGTGTGTATTATGTAGGTGTTTTTTACATACATACATACATACATACATACATACATACATACATACACTATCTGTTCCTCATACCTGTACTCTGTTACGTCACACTAAACAAAGACACGAATATAAAACATTACAGCACCTCCTCCTGTTCCTCCGCCGTACCTACCTGGCGTAACCTTACCTCCAATTAAGAGATGACAGGCAGGTCACACACACACACTTGGGTTCATACAAAGGAGTGTTAATTTCAAGACCTGGATTACGCAGTTCAGTTCTGGTCACCGTATTACAGAATGGATATAGAATCCTTGGAAAGAATTCAGAGGAGAATGACAAGACTAATCCCGGGCATTAGGAACCTTGAGTATAGAGACAGGTTAAAGCATCTTAATTTGCACTCCCTTGAGAGACGTAGAGCGAGGGGCGACCTGATAGAGGTGTATAAATGGAAGCCAGGGCTAAACAAAGGTGATATAACAAAGGTACTCAAACTATCCAACCAGGAGCGAACTCGTAACATTGGTTTTAAATTAGACAAATTTAGATTTAGGCGCGAAATAGGTAAACACTGGTTTATAAATAGAGTAGTGGATAAGTGGAACAAGTTACCAAATATCATCATTAACTCGAATACGCTGAATAGCTTCAAACACAGGTTGGATGGATATATGAGCAATAGGGGTTGGGTGTAAATGGGACTGCCTATAGTATGGGTCAATGGGCCCGCTGCAGTTCCTCCATTCTTATATTCTTATCTTCACACACACACACACACACACACACACACACACACACAAGGTAAAAATAACAATGAATGATGTTGATGCCTTTTGGAGAATGATTAAATTTCAATATTATTTTAACGTATGATTTTTTGAGAATGATGCCATGTTTAATTTAGTTTTTTTGAATTATTGTCATTTTGTAATTTTTGTGTGTGTGTAGTCAATTGGTGAAGAATATTTAGTTGTTGTTTTTCAGAGGATGTAGCAGCACTGTAATATAGTTAAATTAAATCCTAGATGGTTGTTTATCCTGGGAATTTATTGTTTATATTTTCTTGTTTTTTGTTGTTGTGATGTTGCTGTTGTTCTTTTCTTCCTTCTTGATCTTCTGCTTCTTCTTGTCTTTCTCCTCCTCCTCCTCCTACTTCTTCTAACCTAACCTAATCCTCCACAGGTAGTAATTAGGGCATTTAAAGAGCAGGTGAAATATTATCGGGGGTGACTAATCTTCAGGTGATCCCTTAAACCTTGTCTTGAGATTAAATAATGAGATTAAATTCCTCTAAAACCCAGGTATGACGTCACTAGAGGAATCTGTTTAACCAACCAATCAAAAGTCGGAATTATGCAGACGGTGGTGACGTAAGAACCAATTGGAGAGGATCTAAGAGGATTATTGTTTTGATACGAGATGTAATCCTTTCATTATATTGTGAGATGGTTGTTGACACATCGGATAGGAGGAGACATACACACACACACACACACACACACACACACACACACACACACACACACACACACACACACACACACACACACACACACACACACACACGCGGCATCCAATTAAAGTCTACGGTATCGACCCATCATGTTTAACTATATGTAACTTGACTTCTTGTACACACACACACACACACACACACACACACACACACACACACACACACGTGACCTCGGGTGACCTACCATATCCGTGACTTGCACCTGGAAGCGGAACTCTTGTCTGTGTTGAGGATCCTCGTAGTCTAGAGGCTCCACCGCCCTCAGTTCTCCTCCCGGGGCTCCACCACCACCACGGTCCTCCACTTCGAACATTCCACCCATCACCACTGCCGGGCACCACCTGGGGAACACACTCAACAGGACCTATACTGACACCTGCTTCTTTATAAACACCTGCGTAGGATTTTAACTACCAGGCACCTGTTATCCATACCTGTTGTTAACTACCTGCTGGGTGGGGGGGGAGGAGGTTAGTCAGGTGACCCCTCAGGAGTGGGTGTGGGAGTGCTGACCCTGTAGGAGTGGGTGTGGGGGGGGAAGTACTGACCCTGTAGGTGAGTGTGGACCCTGGGAGTGGGTGTGGGAGGTACTGACCCTGTAGGGTGGGTGTGGGGTACTGACCCTGTGGGAGTGGGTGTGGGGGAGTGCTGACCCTGTAGGAGTGGGTGTGGGGGAGGTACTGACCCTGTAGGAGTGGGTGTGGGGAGGTGCTGACCCTGTAGGAGTGGGTGTGAGTGCCTGACCCTGTAGGGTGGGTGTGGGAGGTGCCTGACCCTGTGGGGAGTGGGTGTGGGGAGGTACTGACCCTTCAGGAGTGGGTGTGGGGGAGGTACTGACCCTGTAGGAGTGGGTGTGGGGGAGGTACTGACCCTGTAGGAGTGGGTGTGGAGGAGGTACTGACCCTGTAGGAGTGGGTGTGGGGGCGGTACTGACCCTGTAGGAGAAGTTGTTGGCCACGTCTTGGTCGACGACGGTGAGGGTGGCCAGGACGTGGTCGGGGGTGAGGCTCTCGGACACGTTCAGCGTCCACTCGGAGCGTGAGAACCTCGGCGGCACGTCGTTCACGTCCTGCACCTCCACCACCACCGTCCCTGTACCTGGGGGAGCCAAGGGGCGACACCTGACACACCTAGCACACCTGACACACCTAGCACACCTGACACACTATTACTTAACATTAAGGAAACGTTAGCGATAATATAGTAATAACTGTACTTAAGATCACTCACAATTTCACTCGTAAACGAACCTTTGTATACAAACTTGAACAAAAAGAAACCGTAGTACACTGTGGTACACCCACCCCGGAGGCTGCCCGTGGTACACTCACCCTTGAGGCCACCTCCGTCAGTAGCCACCACCTGTGGTACACTCACCCTTGAGGCCACCACCGTCAGTTGCCACCACCTGTGGTACACTCACCCTTGAGGCCACCTCCGTCAGTAGCCACCACCTGTGGTACACTCACCCTTGAGGCCACCTCCGTCAGTAGCCACCACCTGGATGGTGTACCTCTGGGTCTTCTCACGGTCAAGGCAGCAGAGCGCCGTGGTGATGAGGCCCAGCTGATTGTTTATACTGAAGATGGCGCTGCCGGACGACTCGTCAACAGCGTTCTTCTCCAGTGAGTACGTCACCCTGGCGTTGTCTGCCTCCTGGGGGTCGTCGTGGTCCCTGGCCACCACCTGCACCACGGAGGCTCCTGGACGGCAGAGTGTAAGGAACAAATGGTCAATATTACATAATATTCGGGCAGTACTAAAGTGTGGAGGACCGAAGCAGTGGTCGTCCTTAAAGTGTATTGAGAGTCGTGTGTTTCTTAAGAAATAATAATCGTAGTATGACCGTGTACAGTGTTTATAACCCACATTATACAAGGAAAACTCTGCGACCATCTCTTATATTATGTAAATTGTCTTGGTGAAAGTAAAACTAACATATACGTGTACAAAAATTATAGTGTGTTTCGGGAGATATATTATATATATCCCCCCAAAACACTTGATTTGTTTTTTCAAGTTCTGCAGCTCAGAGTTGGCCACCGAGACTCACTGTGAAACTCCTGACGCAGAACTTGTGGGAACTTGCTGAACCTCTTGGTGGATACTGATGTTTGTGGTGACCCAGCAGGTGACGTGTATTTCCAGACGGTGCTGATCACGAGGCTATGTGTGAGTGGGTGTGTAGGTGCGGAGATATCGGTGGGGTTTGTGGGTGTGTGTGGATGTGGGTGTGTGTGGATGTGGGTGTGGTCACGTACTTCAGGACCTCGTACCTTTGGGTGTGTCCTCGGAGATGGAGGCGGTGGTGGTGTGGGCGGGGAAGTAAGGGGCGTTGTCGTTGACGTCCTTCAGGTTGACGCGTACGTCGGTGTGCGCCTCCAGCTGCCCGTCCGTCGCCGTCACCCTCAGGAGCCACTGAGCCCGTCCGTGTGGGGGGTCCCTGTCCAGTGGCTGGGGGTAGTACAGGGTTCACGACCAGCCAATAACCTTCTCTCTCCTAGGAATCAGCCAATTACAGGCCCTTTTACATCAATCGGTCATGCATTCTGTGAGAATCGGCCAATAATATTTTATCTCACAAGAATCAGCCAATGACACACATACTCATGAAGAATTAACCAACCAATCATTGTTTAGGTTAGTTACTGCTTATCTGAGAGCCAGCTTATCATACAACACCTCACATAAAGAATTAGCCAATCACAAGTAAAGAAAACAAAAACAAGTCAAATAAGCAAAATGATTGGTCGTCGTCAAAGACCAATAAAAACATCAAATTATAGCCATGCCGGTCACTATACGGCGTCTCCCTCCCTCCCTTAATGAAGCCCTTGATAACTACCGTCAACACCCACACAAATACACCGTAATGAAGCGCCGGTAGAGATGGGGAGGCGAGAGTGTCTCACTTCCACGCTCTGTGAGAAAGAGAGAGGGAGAGTCTCACACGCTGGGGGAGACTAGAGGGGAGAGGACCCGCTAAGGGAGGATATGTGTTGGGAAAAACTGAGAGCTGATGTGAATAGCGAAGCTGAATATCCAGAGATGATTATACGGTGAGAGAGAGAGGGTGAGGAGAGAGAGAGGAGGAAGGGAGGGAGGGTGAGAGAATGAGAGAGAGGGAGGATGAAAGGAAGGAAGAGAGGAAGGGGTGATGAATGTATGGTAAGAGAAAGGGTGGATGGGTGGGAGAAGAAGCAGATAGGAAAGAGAGAGAGGGAAGGTGGGAGCATGAGTGGGGGAAAAAGGAGGGAGGGAGGAAGAAAGAAAGAGAGGAGGAGGAACTGGAGAGAGAGAGAGAGAGAGAGAGAGAGAGAGAGAGAGAGAGAGAGAGAGAGAGAGAGAGAGAGAGAGAGGAGAGAGAGAGAGAGAGAGAGAGAGAGAGATGTTTGATGTCAACAAGAGACTCGTCCCCTCCCTTCGTCAGTGTCCGCCCCTCAGTGATGACGTCATGTATGTACCCTCAACACAAGAAGGGATAACTATCATATTTCAACTCCTCTTATTAATCCCCTCAACCCCCTCCTGTAACGTCTACTGTCATGAAGGGAAATATACTGTATTATTGTATTCTCGCTGTAAGAACCTGGATATAAGAATATTTGATTAGTATTTTATGTGATTTATTTGTGCTCCTGTGAGTTAAAATGTCGCTTTTTCAGTCTTGCTTCTAACCTTTTACAGTTTGACTATTTTGTATTCCCTCTCCTCTCCTTCTTTCCCCCCCTCCTCCTTCACCCTCCAAGGTTAATGTATCAGTTCAGGCCATCATCATCATCATCATCATCATCATCATCATCATCATCATCATCATCATCATCATCATCTTCCCCTAATACACTTACCTTGATTCACAGTCTCAGTTCGGTTCATTGATTATCATGTTACTGCTTCTGTCTCATTAGTGTAAGCTCCCCATAGTCTCACTTCATCATTATTCGCCTCTTCCATTCCTCCCATTATTCACCTCTTCCATTCTCCCCATTATTCACCTCTTCCATTCTCCCCATTATTCACCTCTTCCATTCCTCCCATTATTCACCTCTTCCATTCCTCCCATTATTCACCTCTTCCATTCCTCCCATTATTCACCTCTTCCATTCTCCCCATTATTCACCTCTTCCATTCTCCCCATTATTCACCTCTTCCATTCTCCCCATTATTCACCTCTTCCATTACTCCCACTTCTCAACTACTGGTTCTTTCTCTCCTGTCACAGCCTTACCATAACAACACATAACACTTTCAATACGCACCACAGACCCGTCTTGTATGTGATGTGTCAAGTACAATTAACCTGAGTATTGTGTACCTGTCCTGGTTCATCATAAGAGTTAGAATGATATAAGGAGTGTTGAGGTAAAGATTTAACAAGCAAACCGGATTTAACAAGCAAAAGTAGGTTATGTTGTGATGTTAAATAAATTGTTGGTAAGATAACAAAAGCAAGATATACCATAACAAACGTATTTCTATAAGGCGCCCCGAGTTCCCTACACAATATACCACAAGGAAAGATATAAAAAATATACCCACCCCCCCAAAAAAAAACATTCCATTCATTTTACATAGCTGGACTACACACGCTGACTCAGCTATTCACTGGATGTCCTGCCTGCAACTTCCTCTTTCTGCCTGCCGCTAGACCAGATGCCTTTTCAACCCTGAATTCTAGTGGATTGGACTCAAACCCAACCTCCCTCCCACATCCCTCCCACATCCCTCCCACATCCCTCCCACATCCCTCCCTTTAACTCCCACGTTTCTATCTCACCCTTTCCCCCACCTCATCCCTCCTCTTACCTCCCCTACCATCCTCACCCTTATCCCTCCTCTCTCTCTCCCCCTCAGACCCTCACCCATCCCTCCTACCCTCACGCCTCTTCCCCCACACCCTTCTCTCTCCCATACTCACCCTTCCCTCCCATCCCTCACCCTACCCCTCACCCTCACCATAATCAGTACAAAACAAGGAACCAACCTCATCTTCTCACCCCCATTCGAATACATTGTAAAAAGGCAAGAATGTGAATTAGTGGAAATATAAGAGACTTCAGTTAGTGTGCAGCGTGAGAAGGGAAGTCGACAATGGTTTAAGATAAATTGCAAGATATGAGGCTGGAGTTATCCTTCGTAGGTGGTTGAAAAGCTCGTCAGGTTCCCGGTGAGCTGTGGTGGGGGTCGTGTGAAGCTGTGTGAGGTTGTTGGCTGAGGGTGTGTGTGTGTCGCACTCTCTGTCTGGCTCTTTCTGTCTGTCTGTCTGTCTGTTTCCCCTCTTTCTTTGTCCCTGTTTCTCTTTTTCTCTCGTCTCGCTCTTTCTCTGTCTCTCTCTATCTGTCTGTCCTTCATTCCCTCTTTCTCTGTCTTTCTCTTTGGTTCTCTCTTTCGCTCTATCTCTGTCTATGTATCTCTCTCTCTCTCTCTCTCGCAAAGCTCCCCCACCACTCCCTCCTCTCTCTCTCCCCAAAGCTCCCCACCAATCCCTCCCTCTCTCTCCCCAAAAGCTCCCCACCCAATCCCTCCCTCTCTCTCCCCCCAAACCTCCCCACCAATCCCTCCCTCTCTCTCCTCCAAACCTCCCCACCAATCCCTCCCTCTCTCTCCCCAAACCTCCCCACCAATCCCTCCCCAAAATAATAATAATCTCTTTCTATCGACACTGAGATATTTTCAAGCACAAACTAAAAAAATAAATAACATTGATAGAAAAGAAACGTCGACTTCCTGAAGGTGAAGGCAACAGCTCCTGACGATGAAGGCAACAGCTCCTGACGATGTAGTAAGTCAGCGAGTGGCGGAGGATTCGGGGTGGCGGGGATTGGGGGGAGGATCTCTCCCTCTTATAGTGGCAATATCCCCAGCGAGGAATAGACACGGGTATTGGCAGGGGACGGAGGTAAGAATGAGAGAAAGTGAGAGAGTGAGAGAAAGTGAGGGGGGATGGTAGTCAGGATATTAAAGGAAATTTTACGGATGAACTTTGTGATAATGACTCTTGACTTGTCCCAGTAAACATGGCTTTCACTCACACAGGCTCTCTCAATAAACAAGACCCCGTTAACTCACCCTTAACACGTGGACGGTGCCATTGACGGGGTCGACAGCGAAACAGGAGCGCGACCTGTTGTTATAGATACCGTCACCCGTTACGCTGTAGGTGAGACGGCCGTACTGTCCAGCGTCCCGTCCACCGCCGTCACCTGCTGCAAGAGGGTGAAGGTAGACGGAGGTGAGGTTAGGTTTATGATGGTGGTAATGTCTCCTACGCATTTCTCTCTGTCTCACTACCCACCCATCTCTCTCTCTCTCTCTCTCTCTCTCTCTCTCTCTCTAAAACACACACACACACACACACACACACACACACACACACACACACACACACACACACACACACACACACACACATAAACTAACGCGTCGAAAAAGTTCAAAAACACATAAAAAAGCCTCACATAGTATCATCATCGGCGTCTATTGTACTCGCCAGACATCAAAGACTCAGTCAGAGTTTGTTTACACATTACAGCACCAACAGTGACTGCTCGTGTTGCTGCTGCTGCTGCTTCTACATCTCTCCTCTCCTCTCCTCTCCTCTCTCCCTGTTATAGTTATCGGTAAAAGAGGAAAATGTTATTGCAGAATATGAGTTACACACACACACACACACAAAGCACGCTGGGATGTCCTCCTACCAACAAGAGAGTAATATTTTTACCATGTGTTGAGGGTGACATTGGAAGCTGACTGGTGTGTGTGTGTGTGTGTGACGGACGCTGAAGGACGTGTATTATGTTTAAGAGGGACGAGTTTTCCTGCCCACTCAAACGCCCCACTCAAGCGCCCACTCAGATGTAAACAAACACACCGCGTCTGTCACCCCCAGTCTCTCGTGAGAAAACCCAACATAATGATGCTGTCTCTCACATCCACCACAATAGAGGCAAACTGGAGAGAGGAAATTGACTACAAGGATGATAAAAAGAGAAACAGAGCTGGAAAGATAGGGAGAAGGATATGGACAAGTGAGAAACAGAAAGAGGATGAGAAGGTATAAGGAGAAAGATAGAAAGAGGAGAGGCATAAGGAGAAAAATATATAGAAAGAGAAGAGGCGTAAGGAGAAGATAGATATTAAAACATTATTGTGCACATTACAGCATGCTGTTAACATGGGCATCCGCTACAACATTACTACTTACCCTCGACCCGTCTTCTTAATTAAGGCAGAGACCGTAGCCTAAGTTGGGTCATTTGCCGTAATTCTCTTTAGGGTTATCAGTACAGTATAGGGTAATCTCTCTCTCTCTCTCTCTCTCTCTCTCTCTGGTGGTAGTGTCAAATGGTCGTCAATCTGTGTAAGGGAGTTAAGTGTTTCTATCTATATCTGGCTACTACCCGGCGGCGGTGGGTGCGTGAATGGTGGGGGGGAGGGGAAGTAGCCTTGTGTGGGTGCACTGTTTGTGTCTGTGTGTGTGTGTAACAGAGAGAGAGAGAGAGACGGGTGACGGTATCTACATCAACGGGTCGCACTCCTATTTCGCTGTCGACCCTGTCAAGCACCGTCCACTTGTTAAGGGTGAGTTAACGGGGTCTTGTTAATTGAGAGAGAGAGAGAGTGAGTGAGAGAGAGAGAGAGAAAGAAAGAGAGAGAGAGAGAGAGAAAGAGAGAGAGACTACAGGTTATAGTCCGGTCCAGATTAAAGTTGAGGATTGTCTGAAGGAGACTTCACAAAAATGGATATTGGACGAAAAGAAATGTTCCAAATCCCTTCACTACCAGATCTGATCTGGGGGAAGAACAGCTCATCCCCCACCCACCCAGCGGACGCCCACACATGGTAGACGATACAGTTTGTTTTGAAGTAAATTATATTTACAGACTGAGAAATTGTGAATATTTTTTGTGTCTGAAATTCATACCACTGTTGGGACAGATACAGTATACTTGTTGTGTCGTCAGCTCACATCACTGACAGTATGCACACAGTAAGCTTGTTGTGTCGTCAGCTCACATCAGTGACAGTATGTACACAGTAAACTTGTTGTGTCGTCAGCTCACATCACTGACAGTATGTACACAGTAA